AAATTACCTTTATTCCGCAACATCAAACATTATAGTGGACTGTAACGTAAATCTTTCTCGCGGTTTGTTTAACAGCCGTTTGTAATGGTCAATAATTTATTCACGACGGATAAATAGGAGAAAGCAGACAATCCCGTTTTGGTCATTATTCTTGAACATTTTTCAAGATACTGTACAGTGCACTTTTATACTGAATTTTAAAGTACAGTAGGAGATGATAAAAAACGGCAAAAATTTGGAACAGCGTAATATAGCTCAAGGGTCGCACTCCTATAAAACCCTACATACTAGAAAATTTCGGTCAGTAATAATAATCCACGGGATCCTGTAAAAACTTTCATTCCCCCGATGAGTCTCCCCACGAGGGACCAAAATTTGTATGCAAGAAATCCAAGCAAGAACAATCTTTCCAATATGCTGGTAACACTGTTGCAGAGAGAAGGTAACGAAAAAAAACTCTGGGAAACCTTTTTCAAAATTGACCTGACGTGATGGAGTACCGTATAAATACATTTTCTCAAATATGGAGGATTAACTACTTCGTCACTCGTATCCCAAATGCCGTTATTATCTTTCTCCGAACGGATAATGCGTATTCGTTCACTTTTTTTTTATACTTCTGATGTCATTTACGTTTATTCTGAATTTACATGAATATTCATTGAAAAATCAATTCTGAAGGAAAGAAACCGAGTTAAATGCAAAAAAAAGCATTTTGTTGCAAAGAATCCCCCAACTCCTGGAGATCAAGGATGCGAACATGGGAAGCCAGAGATATAATATAATATTAAAATTTCGAGGAGTGAACGAAGCGCGAACTTTGGAACGCTCTGCTTCAGAATATACACGTGAATGAAAACGGGAAGAACCACTCTTCAGGAGGTCCATCGGGGGCATCTTAGTTAAATTAGTTTATTGACGTTTTAGTGCCCCCAGGTAGGGAGCTCGTTGCGAACATGTGCATGAAAATTCCATTTGAGGAAAACCTTGATGGAATGCGAGTAAAAAGGTTATTCCAGCAAACTCGTGAAGCAGCAGAGGAAAAAAGGGGGGAGAGAAATCGTTCTTGGGTTCGCTTTGGCACCGGCACTCTTATGCATCCCTCAAGCTTCCTCGTCTGGTGTAGGCCTTCACTCCTGCGCAGCGTATGCGAGCAGCACTAAACGATTGCCTTCACGAGCTGCCCCGAAACACCACGCGTATATAATCAAATCGCAGGATATGGTCGAAAACCGCCCGGGGCCCCGAACCAAGACGTGACATTTACGAGGTTCATCCCGCGGAATCCCAGGTACCAGGCGCTACTGAGAAGAGTCGTTTCGAGATTATCAATGATACAATCACATTTGCATAAGTGCGATATCCGATCGCTCGCCCCTCCGCCCCCCTCTCCTATGAAGTGAAAAGCACGGTGGGTCCAGGCCACACTGATGTTCGCCGAAGCTGCACAATGCCCTGTGGTCACCCCCAGGAGGGTCTGCGAAAGTCTAGCCTACTTTTATTGGATGCCATTGAAAACCGGATTATTCCGAAATGCAAACAGTCCTCGAGGCGCTAGACTTCGCGAGGGGGAAAAAGGTCGCAAGAATAGGCCGTAAAACGCGTAAATTCTTCAATTCAGGTTGAGGAAGTCTTTTTCTCTCCTGTGATTCCATGAAAGAAAGAAAAAGTCGGTATCGTTACGAAAGAATTACGAGCCCGCATACAATTGCCCACGTTGCTTTTTTATTTTGTTTTTGAAGTTTAAAATAATGCACGGTACGTACTGTACTGTTAACTCCGATTATCCGGGATTTGATAGACCTGGAAAATTTGAGTCAGCTAGAGGAAACGAAGAGGCTTGCATACTTCATAATTCGGATTTGTAAACTTTCATTGCCCCCCGAGTGACCAATATCATCAGAGCTGGTCGAATTTGATGCTTCTAGTCATGTTGATAAGAGTACTAGGACATGATTGATGTCCAAACTGCATTCAAACCTCTGTGATACTTTATTCTCTGGGCGAAATCACCCGACATAAGTCTTGAGAATTGGAGTTCTGCCGGGATTTTTGCCATTGATTCATTCCTCCATCCGTGATTCCGTATGGCTTCTTCCTGGTGCTTCATCACCAAAATGTTCCAACTCCAGAATTGATCAAATTAACAAAAACACGTGTGAAAATACCAAATCATTGCCCAAGCCATGATCACTTCCATGCGAGTCGTGGCTTTGAAAGACATCTTACCGCAAGTTGCAGCATGACTGCTGAATATAGTATTCCTTTCTTCTAATTCTCTCAATTGATCGAATTATCTCGCTACTGATGTGCGTCGAAGAAAAGCAAAAAGCAAGATTTTGCGGCTCAAAATTTTCATGATATTGTATCTTCCAAGTCTAGTGCCTTCAAGTTCTGGCGGTGCAACCTGAATAAAGGGCCGACCATCTTCATCAATTCGAAAGGGGGACTAAATGCTTTCAAAAATCATTATCTTGAGATAGCCGCCCATAACTCGATTAAAAATGGCATTATATTGGAAATTTTATACTATCTCGAGACAGGATGATGTTATCTTGCCGTAAAATTACTATTTTGGACAGTTTCTGATATCAAACTGACGATGCAAACGGTCTTAATTTTGTTTTTGTTTGAACGGCATAAAAGTGGGAACTGATTTCTTAAGTGATGGGGATGTGGGCATTAAAAAGTCAAGCTGAAAGACTTCCGAAAGAAATTCGTTGCAGCAGCCTCATGGGGATTTTCGAGAGCAGTAGAAAACCTTACTTTCTAAGCTACTAAAATTCTCGGTTCCACGTCACAAAAATGCACTTCCGCCGAGAAGAATAAGGGACAGTACCGTGATCTCCGATCGGGCTTTGATGTACCTTAGCGAAAGCGTTTACCGTCGCGAGTGGGCGGACAACTACGCATAAATCCTCGAAATTTACAACAGTTTCAAGCACTCGCGAACAAAATTTCCACCAAAATCGAACACCACAGTTCATTACGAAATTTCATTATGTTGGGAGGCTCATGATTGCATCACGTCCTTCGTCGATTGCTTTCGCTGACAAACGCAATACTAATTCATGAGCACCAAGCTGGAATTGATGAGATTCGTGAGCAAGTCGTCCCTGCAAATTTGGTAAATGATTCCGTCTGAGTGTTATCGAAGCACGCGGATTACCTTCAGATATTTTCGTTTTGATTTTTCATTGAAAAATAAAAATGGAAAATTTTTCATTGAAAAATAAAAATGGAAAATTTTTCATTGAAAAATAAAAATGGAAAATTTTTCATTGAAAAATAAAAATGGAAAATGTTTCATTGAAAAATAAAAATGGAAAATTTTTCATTGAAAAATAAAAATGGAAAATTTTTCATTGAAAAATAAAAATTGAAAATTTTTCATTGAAAAATAACACCTCCATTTTTATTTTTTTTCTGCAGTTCGTCTGCAGGTTTTTCGTTGAAAACCTTCAAACGAGCTTTTTCCAGCGCAAAACGAAGTACTCCTTTTTCACGCGAACAGCGAAGTTCCTGGAATGAAAATTCACTCATGTTACCAATATGACGTACACGATCATTTCTGGCTTAGAATCTGAATGATTCACTCGTCAAAATGTTAGCATGCTGAATACCAAGACCTTCTATAATGAATCGGCTAAGAGAAAGAAAAATATGCTGTGTTCAAGATTTATCTAATATTTTAAAATGGAGGTAGAGAGTAAGAACTTGAATCTAATATTTTGAGTTGCTCAAACTGAGGAAAAACTCTCAGTAAAGCTTACGTACTGAAAACGACGCAACTCTCCTGGCACAAAATTGAAAATTGCACAAAATACTGCATTAGGAAAAATATTCTGATTCTTCAAGCGTCGATCTTGCAAGTTTTCCCTGTATACGTTATTTTAAATCACACTGAACACAATTCCCTCGTGTTTCACGCGCCCCAGCGTAAGACAGGCACCATTATTTAAAGTTTTAAACAAACCTTTTAAAATGAGCTTTCCTGTATGGCGCATGTATGTTTCCTTCCGTGTCAATTTTTCGGAAAATGTAGCGCAGTTTATTCGGCTGTTTTAATGTCCCGTTCCTTTTCGAACAAAGGCATACAATATTTTGACTTTTGCGCAGTGTTTTCCGCGTGCCAGCGTGTAATTCTGTTTGTTCAGAGTCAGCGCGTGTTCCTGAATTTGATCTGCATTTCTTTACTCTTAGTGGAAAATTTTGTAGGGATTCGATATTATTTCCTCTGTACTTTCGCAGGAGAAATCAATGCTGCTTTTTCGGGAAGCTTCTTCCAGTTATCCATGAGCATATAAGAAATCCAAGAAATGTTTATGCAAGAGTAGAGTACAGTATATTTTATACTGTATTGTGTTTTGACTTCCGGGATGTCGGAGAAGACATTATATTCGCAGCCCTTTAGCTTTTCCATATATCAGGGCCCCGCAACTTTTTTATCTTTTAGAGAAAAATAATAATAAAGAGTTCTGGAAATGCTGCACAGCGTTGTCAGGGATAAATTGGATGAAATTCGCAATAAAATGCTGCTGGAGGATCGGGTTCCCGTATCACGGCAGAATCAGCAGAGGTCTCTCCAACAACATGGCATGCAATAGGCGCCACGTGCAGAGATAATATCTGCCTTCTGTAATCGATCGAACTGCATAAAAACAACCCGATCGATCAATAGAACACCGAAATCCGCCCTCAGTCAGTTCTCCGCTAAAAATACTGCAAGGCGTAGGCGGGGAACGAGAAAATAAAGACTCGGGGGAATTTCCGCTGTCGAAACGCGAAAAGAACATATAATGCGATGATTGGAGAACTAGGTGTTACGTTACCGAATTCGAGAGCAGGCCCTTGACCTCATCAGGTCAACACGGCTCAAGCAGCGGGGGTAACACGATTTCATAATGAGTACGTCAGGGTGAAAATCACGCAAAGCATCGCAGGGCTCGACGGCATCTGATGATGAAGTGCGCGAGGGGCAATCATGCCGGCTGCGGCGGTCACCCTGTCGCAATTTGAGCGGAATTCCAAATTACTGGCTCGACTTCACGCCTCGCGTCGAAGGATACAATGATAGACTCACCATAAACATCATGTTTTGCCCCGGCTTCAACGCCCGTCGGTGGGTTAACCTAAAATTATACCCGATGATTCGAGTACCACCTGTTACGGGCCGAATTTTCTCGCAGCCCTAGAGCCAGCAGATTTTGCAAACGTTCCAAAAGAAGATTCACGTTTCAGATTGGGGTCGTGCAAACGCTTCGAGTTTGAGATTTAAAGACTTCTGCTTCACAACGAGGTCAAGGAATTCCATCAGCCAACATGATTGTGGCGAAAGAGAAAATAATCTCGCACGTTAACTCGGAAGTAAGCTCTGAAAGGAGAATGGTTGCGAATTGAGCGCTCCAGAACATTCGTTAATGAATTATGTGTCATTTTCTTCCTTTTTGTTGGATGAAAGTAGAGTAAGGTGATTTTAAAAACTGTAAAATTCGATTATTTAATCGCATAAATGCATATGTAGACATCGGTTTTAAGTTCATCCAATGCCTGAGCGGTTTTAAAAGCTTTACTTTCCGTTCTTGCGTAATGGGGAATGAATGCACGGGCGGTGCAAGTGCCACGACTTACTTCAAATAATCAAAAAATCTTCCGATTAAAAATTTCCAAAATCTGAGACTCACGTAAAAAAAAAAGCGAGCTCTTCTGGACATTTTTATTTCAATTATGATGGATGGGATTAGTATCTCAAGATTTCCATTGGTAAGCAAGATCAAGAACTCAAGAAAATCCTGAACAAATGGAAAGAAGTTTGTTTCAATTGCTCCCGACTCCGCAGTGGTTGTGAGGATTCTGACTCAGATGTGGCGGTATTCATAGAAATTCAATTCAAGGTAAAACGGTGACAAAGCGTTTGAGCCAGCTTCCGTATCTTTCCGCTGCATCTGATTCTAGGAATAATGTTGCTTTTCTCAGACAATTTTTTTACAACTTCCGAACGGAATTCTCACGTCTGTGACGCGAAATAAAACATTCTGGAGTAAACTCAAACCTGCTTTAATTCCTCCAAGCTTCAAATACAAAGTCCAAATACATTTTTTTCAATATTCACTTTTCATGGAACAGGGGATGAAAACAAAACGGAACATCATAATCCAAACGAAAACTTCAGAAAGACGAGTTCTGAGTCAACAATCACGAATCCAAATTGTTCCCGAATGAAATAAGCAAGCATCTACGCGCATCGCGTGCAAAAATCCAACCGGCGAATACATCTGACGCGGAAAAAATGGGAGAGAAGAATCTTCTGACAATGACGGAACTACAATTCGAGGAAGAGTCCAAGCGTCGGCACATCACACAAGACAACTGCAACGAATGCTCGCCGTCCAATAAGCTCAAGACTTGGGATTCCAGATCCTTCCGGTCAGTGCGCTCGAGCAGGTAAATCTCCGGGATATTAAATGACGGCCGAGCGAGCGCTGTTGTGACTAGACATTGAATCTCGGAAATGCCCCTTTCCACGGAGCCCGATCCGGCAGTGAAACAATGCGGCGTATCGGCCGAACCCTGCCTCCACTTCCCTCCATTGTTTCCACCTGAAACGACAGCAAATCAGGAAAAATGACGTTAGAAACCGGCATGTGGCACGAGCAAATATTTGAACGAATCTAGTAATTTGTTTCCCCAACGATCCACAGGGTTAGAAGCAGGGGAAACAGCTCGAGAGGGGCTGTTTCAGCAAACAAGCGTACGGTGCGCGAAAGAAAGCCAACATCCGTCAGCGTAACACGAATTCTGGCAATGATGGAAATTGGAGACGAATCTTGGCACAAACAGGGCATTACTGCCCCTCGATCGATATCCAGCGAGGCCCAGAGATTTGAATCTACAGCTCAGGCTCCCTCGGAATAAAGCCCATTATTCCGCGCAGAAGGGCCGGCATCGACGAGGGTCTAAACCCGCCCAGTACATCGGCAAGCACCTTTCAAGTTATCTCGGTAAATTAAATTACCGACTCGGCCCTCCGATAAGGAGCCGATGCTCCCCCCTCAACAAAGCTTTTCTTCGCGGATTCCTGCCAAACTCGCCAACTATTCAACTCGGAAGAGAATCGTGTCAAGTAAACCTGACGGCACTCGAGCGGAGCCACGGCGTGGAAGAATTTCCTGATCAGCGGGTAGCCCGTGAAAGGATGAAAAATACTCCCCGACGCTCAAAGGGAACATCGTTAATCCTCGAAAATTAGGGCATCCAGGAAAGAATATTAAATTCCTGAAAGCAAATCCACTCAGCCCGGCAGCTCCCTACTATGTCGGGCGCGAGAGCGCTTCGGAAGAGGACACCGATCCATTCGAGTCATTAGCGCGATCGCGCTTTTATATCCGGCCACAGATTCCTGCATTCTTTGCCGGAACAAAAGAAGGCATCTTTTCAGCCTGTGACCAACCCGATTAGGCAGGATCCTTCCAAGTACGCACGGTAATCTAATCTTCAAATATTTAAGCTAAACTTCAACAGCTTTGAAAAGATTTTTAAGAAAACATGCCTAACCCAACTCGTCACTTCATCATGAATTATTCTTCCTCAAAAGGAATGACAAGCATCAAGCGTAGTGCAACAATGCATAGATAAAAAGAATCAATATCAGCGATACCAACACTAAAATATTCAAACACTTCAATGCCTGGACCGTCTACAGAGGTTGATCAACATTCTAAGCGGAGCTAGTCTATTGTCTATTCTACAACTTTTTACACTCATCAAAAGGTGAAAAAACACATGCGTTAACTTGAGTTCTGCACTTGGTAGTTAAGTATTATTCAATTAGACTTTTCTAAAAGCAGAACAATAATCCATTCTTTAACTATATTAAACCTAGGCAATAAGACCACATTTAAGAATACAGTACGAATACAGTAAATCATCTCAAATTTTTATTGAATAAATCCCGGACAAGTGCTTCGTGTGACCGAACACTCACTGTAAATATATTTATTGGGTGATAATCTTGCTATAGTGGATCTAGAGGGACTCCTTTGTGAGGTGCTTGGTTTTTACTACAGTAATAATAAAAGTTTATTTCTGAAGCCATCATTATTTCGCAATGAAGCATAGGTTTTCAAGGATGGATGGTCGCATACTATACCAGGGTTAACTTCAAGGTTGGCCAAACTTTCGACGCTTGGTCACGCACTCAAAAGCACCAAAATAAATTCATACTACTGTACCCGGAAACCGGGAGTCTTCGCGTGATTAAAGCCGAAGGAATCGCCTGGCCGAATGCAGAATAGTTGGGTTCCCCACGCCAGCTGTGGCGCAAGCTCCGCCCACCAAAAAATAAAGCAGCCTTCAACCAGGTGATGAATTGTGAAGGCGAGGCTTGAGTGATCATGCATGCTGACCCTCCGGGCAAAAAATATTTAGTTCTCCTAGCCGCCTTCGCCAAAAGACCCCGCCGTAGCCCACTTGATGAGCTCGATTTGCATACACAAGAGCTGCGGTATTGATAACTGAAGCGACACAGGGCTCGAATGAAGGAGAACGAGCCACACATACACGCTCCGGCCTACATCATAATCTTCCCGATGGCCTGTTTTTTTTCTTCCGGGAAAAGCGTCTTCCCCGAGATCCGAAACCATTTTGACGCCCGAGGTTAGGGACACCTTACCACCATTCCGGCTCTAGAAACCGCTCCAGAAGCTGTGCATAATTTTTCTTCGCCGTCAGGAACAACAGCGGGTCACGGCTTGCAGTCAACGGCGAGACGAATGATCTCCAGGCAGGAAAATAAACCGGTCGTTGCGCGGAATAGAAAATACGTAACTCGTTCATCCGTTTCGTGCAGGAAAGGGGAAGTAGTTCGACGTCGCGGTGCTTGCACGGGCACATGAATGGAGAGAAATCGCATTTCGAGACAACCCTTCAAACAATCAACACACGAATTGACGCCGAAAAATCCCCAGAAAGAGGCTTCAGAGTTCGCTCTTTTTTCCTGGTTTTTCCTTCGGCAATACTAGCCCGTAATGCGGCTAATGCCTCGGGATGGGATGCGTTGAAGAAGACCCACGTCCCGAGGAAGATATCTTTTCTGAAGCGGCGCCTGGCCTGAACATTCCGCTCACTTCTCCGCAGCCATTCGACGTTACAACGCAATTACACGCCCGACCCGAAAACGCAGGAGAAATTAAAGAACACGGAATATACTCCTGCTACACGCTTGTCGGAAGAAAGGAAAGCCACGAGTTCCAAGCGGGGGACGCGCCTGGGAGGAACGCGCGAAATTCCCATTCAAATAATAAACTTCACAAAAAGGCTCCATCCGGTTTCCAGCGACATGAGCATCAGAAATCGCCTGCTGCGGAAACTCAGCACTCGCACCGCAGACTAAATTCATCTTCATCAAGGAGCCTCGTTAACTGCCCGTCTTATACTTCGCTTCGGCGCCACAGCATGTTGCGCGAGGGAGAGAACCCCAGAATAAGTCATCAAGTCCTTTTCGCAGTTCCACTGGAAGTTTCTCTCTGCTTCATTTGCTTCAACGCGAGTAACGCGTCTACTAGACGAGATCCTCAAGTAGGGAGAAAGTTTCACGAAGAATTCGCCCCGAACTTCTCGAGGAAGTTTCTCCACAAGTACCCGACAATTTTGCTCGTATATTCCCCACAACTCCGTTCAAGAAACGCGACAAATGAAGACCGAATAAGGCCAAGACACGGCTCAAACGTTTTGGTGACAGAAAGACCCCCAGGGAAGGAACGATTCCTATGGTAGGGCGTTTTAACCGGCCCGTTTTCCCGCGATAGGGGGTTTATGAATGAATGGTATGCAAAGTAAAGTTGAAAAACTTTTGAATTGGTTCGGACAAGGATGAAAATGAGTAAAATACAGAGACGAAGAAGCGGGAATAGACTCGAGTCATGAACGTGACTTTATAAATGCGGATGAATCATCTCCTTAATTAAAACAAAAACCATCAGTCGAACTTCGTGGCACGCAAACTTCAGGCGACAGGAGAACGCACCTTGAAGAACATTACGAGAGAGAAAATTACCGCGCACACTCCGCAAAAAACGCCAAATACGAAATTCCTCAAGCAGAAAAAAAATCTCCTCGTAACACCTGGAAAAAATCTCCACATCACGAAGTGTTTTGGGATCAACTTTTCGTTGATCATGCATTCATACAGATTGCGCCATTTTTCAAGCGCATTACAGTACAGTACAGTAGTTTACATTGAAACACGGCTTTCAGGCACGCTCTTCATATCATGGAAGAGCAACCGATCGGAAGGTTAAAAAAGCATCGTGTACGGCAAAAGCCACCAACAAAAAGGTTTTGCATTTGGAGCTTCTCTCATTTTTGCCTTTCGTCGCGGTGCTTTGATCTCGAAAGCCTCAAAAGCTGTACAATTCAAATCGGTTTAAAAGCCTTGTTTTATGGCTCTGAAGGAGGATTGACCCGAAATTAGAGGGAAACGGAGGGATTTTAGCGTTGAAAGAAAACCGGGCTTGCCCTCCTACGTAAGTGAAGTAGCGAGCGTTAAAAAATTGGCAAGAAAATGCAGTTGTGTGGCACAGATCCAGCAAGCTCTCAACATCTTCCGCGTCACGTGTTGCATTAAATGAAGATAGATCGACGGGAACCCCGAATAGTCGAACGCCGGAATAGAGCGGAAGAAAGATTTCCACGGGATTTGCATCAATTTTCAAGGCAGAACGCTAACGCGCGAACGGAAGTCGCGAAACACGAGCTATCGTACGAGCAATAAAGAAAATACACGCGTAATCGTCAGGATTCCAGGGAACGTGGATTGATGACCGATCGCCAGGCGTTTAAGTGACCCACGGATAATAAAATTCGTTTCATCCCACGAGCAAGGCAGATGGAAATAACCCAACTATCCCGACGGACACTCGAGACCGGAGGGAAGAGGGGCCACTCGCGGTGGAAAAAAAACACGGCGTCGGAATCCCAGCGATTACTCCTCAGCTCGCCAAAGGGCACGGCATCTCCATCTTGTCGGCACATGATCCTTACTCTTCGACGCATTATTAATCAATGAGCCTTGTTTCACCGCCTGACTAAGGCAATAAGTCGCACAAGGCAGGGCCTACGGACACGACCGAGGCAACAGGTTTCCGCTCGGCGGATTTATTCCGCGACATGTTCTTCCGCGCAGCTGCTTTCCGCTGCTGTCGGGCGACAAATGCAAACGCGGAGTCAGTCACTCCAGGCAAAAATCACGCCCGGAATAAGATCCGCCAACCATCAAGGAAAACATTTTCAGAGTCTCTAGGGGTTCTGTTCTTCAACCACGACCCACTTCGGGATTATTTTTCTCGCTTGCCTCTTTCCGGAACCGGATTTCGAGCTTGCCCCGCAACGACAGGAAGCCAGCGCATGAGCGCCGGGAACTCTCGTCACTTCCGTTGCCTCACCGAAATTGGCCGACAAAAGCGCCGCCTCACTCACCGGGAAACGCATGTGTAGGATATATTGCGCCGCAGTTGCGACGACAGGCCGTAATAGCAAGCTGAATAAGTTGGTCTGCCTGGAACCCCCTCCGAACACCGAACGCCGACCGACAGACGTACTAGTCGAAACCCATTTCGACGAGTCTCACGTTTCCCCGAATATGTTCCAAAGTTCATGAAGCGCCATTGGCGTATTCCGGAAATGCAAAGCGAACTGAAAAATCACCTCAGTAAATGAAACGCACTTGAAAAGTTCTGTTCGCGATCTCGAAGGCAGAGTGAGGCACCAAAAACTACATTTTTTCATCAGTCAAATCCCACTACAGTACTAATTAAATTAATAAAACGCCCCAACTAGTTTTTGCACCAAACGTCCTATACCAGGTCTTTTCAACCATTCGCCAGGTTAAACAAATTTCTCAAGAAAGAAATGCTCAGAACACTTTTTATATAGGCATCACAGGTTGAAATGCTTGGCCCCGATGCCTCTAATCTTCAATGAAAATGTGTTGGATGGGTGGTCGGTGTTCTCGGGAAAATAGCACGATCTCCCTCCGTTAAATTCCCGACGTTCCAGTTCAGAGTCACTGAACAAGTGGTATGTAAGATTTCCCTGAGTTTATGAAAATTTTGCGCATCACCCGTACGATGACCTTGGTAATATCATTCATACACAAATGGTCGGAAAACGGCGTCATTTACAGCAGCAATCTCCAGATCGTTGAAAAAAAAAACTTACACATCGTATTTTT